TTTCGATTTTCTTGCTTTTTGACTTTCGATTGACTTTCGATGCGCACGTAGGCTCCAAGAGCAGGCCGCCCTTTGCGACCCGGACCCGCCAAACCCGGCCCGCTTACCCCCTCTCGAGGCCTTACGGGCCGTTCTCCGACTTCTCCCGATTTGGACGACCCTACTCGTATTCGCCGTCGTTTTCCAACAACCGGCGACTTTCTTCACGAAGCAAGGCTCGGCCATGAACCGAGCAATCGGCGGGACCCACTTCGAAATCCCTCCCGCGGCCCTTCAAGGCTCGATTACTATTTCAATCATTCTTCTCATGCCGCTCTATGATCGGGCCTTCATCCCCCTTATTCGGGCCCTGACGTGCGACCCGAACGGTGGGATCTCGGTCGAGCGGAGGATCGGGATCGGCATGTTTCTATCCGTGGTCGCGATGGTTGTTGCCGCGATAACTGAGCGAAAACGCCGGCTCGCCGGAAATAACTTGCCGAGCATATTCTGGCTTTTGCCGCAGTACGTGCTTTTGGGAATTTCAGACATATTCACGGTTGTTGGGATGCAGGAGTTTTTCTACTCCGAGGTGCCGGCCGGGATGCGTACGGTGGGGATCGCGCTCTACACGAGCGTTTTCGGGGTCGGGGGATTCTTGAGTGCGGTGCTCATATCGGTGATCGAGAGGCTCACGACTGAGTGGTTCGTGGATGACATGGCGAAGGCGCGGCTCGACAAGTACTATTGGTTTCTAGCGGGCGCGAGTGCGGTTAGCTTGTTGGCGTTTGTAGGGCTTTGCAGGTGGTTTAGGGGGCACAACTTAGGTTTGTGATTGTGGTTCTTTATTTTAGTTGGAAATTTGGAATGGTTTGAGCCTCTTTTAAGAAAATATAGTTTGAAAGGGGAAAAAATGATTTTCCTAATCAATGATGAGGTCGTGAGATTGATTGGTTTCACTTGAGAATTGGATTTGTAATACAAGTAATGTGTGTGTTTTAATGGAAGATATGAGTCGACTCGATTCACATTTAACGGTTGAAGACTGTAGGTAAGAAGTTTTAGTACTTAATTGGATTTCCAATTTTTGCAAGTGGTCCAAGAATCTCCATCATCTTTGTGTAGGAGATCCTTCACACGTTTTTTTTTTCCACATAAAATCACTAGCTTGTAAACAAATATATGGGAAGAAGATAAAAAAGTTGAATCAATTATATCTATCTTGATTTGGTGGGAAGACACCTAACAATAGCATTGTCTAGTCACAATTCAAAAAGAGAAAATTACATCAACTATGTAATGTTTGGCCAAGACTATCTAAAGTTCATACTAATATCAGTAATATGAGGTGTTGATGACTTGATGTGCCTTTGGGTCAGTGTTGGGCTATTAAACTTAGGTCCAGGAAGATTTCTGAAATTACTGAGCCCACAAAAATTCTAAAGACGGACAAAATTCGAAAGGAGTATTATATTAGCATCCCTAATGGAAGGTCTGAGTAATTAACTATTCATGTGAGCAAAAGATAAGATAGAATTGAAAAAAGCCATAACAATGGTATAGTAGTTGCAACCCCCATACTTGATGGGCCTACTAAATGGACAATACTCGTGTTTTTGTTGGTCGTGGGGGGTGATCTCCTGTGTGTGGGTGTAGCTAGGCCAAACTTGTATCAATCATTCAGTCTTATTCTATTGGCAATTTTTTTTCTAATGCTTTTGGTTAATAATATAGGAGACAATTTAGATACCTGATTGTAATGTACTCTATTAAGTTATTAATGATTAGTATACTATAAACTTTTATGACATTTTGTAATATAAATCAATAAATGTCATTTTTTTTGGTATCGCCCAATTGTTATGCTTCCAAATAACAACATTTGTGTCCAACTAATTAGATCTGAATACTTTGTTGAGTCTACTTTTGTTAAATCACTGTTCATTCACTCGTTGGACTTAATAAATAAGACTTCTTACGTAAATTATGTAACTTTAACACGACTTAGGCAAAAGAACTCAAACATGATCTTGAGTATTAACAATTCGAGATCAGCTCAGCTCGGCTCGGCTCGACTCGTTTACTGCTCTAGTTGAGCCACATTAACATTCCTTCCTATCCTTGTTGGAGTTCAATAAGGCTCAATTAAAGATAAAAATAAGAGAAAAGTAAAAAGAAAACAATGAACACAGCACTTCCTCCTTTGTTTAGTCCTCTTGTACTCTTCAAGAAAACGAATATTTCAATGTAAAGAATTTCCCTCAAGTCACTTAATTATAATTTCCCAATAATCAGAAAATGAATTATATCAAATTATCAGTAGCAAGCAAGTCTAGCACCTTTTTGCATAAAGGGCCAGAAAAAAGTGGGATTTGTTTGCCTATGTAAATAGATGACGAGCTCAAGCCATTTTCAACTGTAGCTCCATAGTCTTTCATCGTCCTCATCCAGTCTCCGGCGATAGCAAAATAGAAAGCGAAAAAAAATGAAGGGCCTCGTTTTTTTCTCTCTACTCGCGTCGATTTTTGTTCTGGGTTTCCTCCAAGAATCGGTACATGGGCGGCCGTCGTTGATGTCGCTGCCCAAGCCCCGCCGTGATGACTCCGCCGCCTTTGCTCGGTGGTTGGTCTCTCAGAACTCGTGGGGTGTCCTCAGGTAGCGGCGCTGTTCTTTTCTCCAGCTCGCTTATTTGTGTTTTTAAAGTTTAGATTTTTACGAAATGGCACAAATAAGAACATCTTTTGATATGCTATTGTGTTAGCTCTTTATCTGTTAGACTCTGGATCCCAATAGAAAAAAGGCATGATTTTAATTGCATTCTCTTGATTTCTGAATGTTTACTTGCTCTGAGCTTTAGTTGTGGGGTTTGGCTATGTGAATGGGACTTTTGTGAGACTCAAGTTATATTGGCTTATTGCATTTTTCTTTAATGGGTGTTCAATTTCTATTTTGAAGACTAATTGAGCTGTCATTTAATCGATCTGATGTCTGTTTTTTGTTATAAATGGCAATATTGGGTCAAATGTGTGTGATCGGATGGTTAAAACCTCGCGGGATAGGATCGAATTTTGCGCGTGTGGGTTATTATCAAAAGCTGATTTATATTTATTTGTATTTGCAGCACAGTATCCAGTGACTGGGGAGGTGCACCATTCGGGTATGTTCAAGCCTTAATCGAACTCAAATTTGTTGTGTTTATGCAAATTTTTTGTATTGAAAACTGTTCAGTTTTGTACACAACTCAGATCATCTTGCCAAATGGTATAGAGTATTCACATCTTATGAATCTATGGTGTAGCTGCTCAATTGTTGAAATATTTCAAGATCTTCGATAAAATGCAAGGGGCATATATGATATAACTACAAAAAACTCCGTCTCTTACTCTCTTCCCTTTTTGTTCTGAATTAGTTGCTTAATATGGCCCTATGTTAGTTGGTGTTTAAGACAGTCGACCTTAGCATTTGGCTGACATAATTAATTTCCTTTTTTTTTTTTCCCCTAAATTTTGTGTTTGCTTTCATTNAGGAGAGTTTTTTTTTTTTTTTTACTTAGGAATGTGGTATCGTTTAGTGATGGCTTACCGGACAAGGGAAAAGGCATCCCGTATTTCTATCTGACAACACTCGATCCAACGGCTAGCAATGCTTTGAAAGACCAGAGATCTTCATTGTCGCTAAGCGAGTATAACATAGGAACTTGTGGCAACAAAGATCCCGAGCTCCCCACTTGTGCGAAAATTACACTTGTGGGAAAGGTGTGGTTCCTTTATCCTACATAATGTGAACTCGATTTAAATTAAATTCTTTATGTCATTACTTTAAAAAATTATAATAATAGTGACATTACATAAGATTGACACAAATAAAAATAAAAAGTGTCATATTAAGTATTATATAATTATGACAAAAAGAGTAATTATTAAATGTTAAATGTCGACCATATATGTTCCATCAATAAACGATAAAATGACGTAAAATTTCCGTATATCTTCCATCAAGATTTTGCAAATCGTGGAGTTGGGAGAATCTTGTGAATCCATTTTTAGTGATATTGAATTGTTCATGCTAGTGAAAAAAAATGTCAACGAAAAAAATATGAAATGTGATGAAGCAACAATTTAATTGATTTGTATTTATAGGGTAAAGACAAAGAAAAACAACATATAGATCAACAAAAGTTGTAAAGAAAAGGTAAAAATGACTATTTTGAGAGTTCTTGAATGTAAAGACTATTGCAACGCTTATTTATCCAATATTTCATAAAAATAAATATGGAAAAGAAGTTCATGAAAGAATTAATTAATCAACACAAAATGTCTTTGGCTATTTTATAAAAACTACATAGTTGCTCTTTGAAGCCATATTATCTGTACCTTTTGTGATTAGGATAGTTACTTTATGTTAACAGGTTCATTAGCATGCAAGAAGTAAATTAAATTTGCTCATTTATGTGTTAATCGGTTGCAATCAGGAAATAGATCATCTAATCTATATGTATTTTGTAAGTCATTATATACCACCTCGAATCCCACAGTTTGGAGTTTTTTTACAGTTAAAATTAATCGAGGGAACAAAAGAAGCTGAGATCGCTCGAGCTGCATTGTTCGCAAAGCATGCTGATATGAAAAGTAAGCATAATAAAAGTTTGAAAATGCCATATTCTTCTTCCTTTTTTTCCCCCCGAATTTCAATTTAAATTTTGGGTACACTTAATTAACTATAATTAATATTAATGGCAGGGTGGCCTAAAAGTCACAATTTCCAGGTGTACAAACTCGATATCGAGAATATATTTATGATCAATTGGTTTGGCGGCCCAAAACCTATCACTGTAGAACAGTATCTTCAGGCCAAACTGTGAGTTTGAGGCGAAAAGTAGCCTCTTTTGCTGTATCATAGTCTCATGTTAGGCGATAACTAGTGGGAAGTTGATGTAATATCTACTGAAATAGAAATAAAAGTGTGGTAACTATTGTTCTTCATAACATCCAATTCATTTTTTTTCACTCAAACATGAACTCTGATTTTACAGGAATAAACCTGCACTCACCGTGGCCTAAACGAAATTCCCATTGTTGATTTGTTGTCTGATTAATTGAGGAACCAGAAATTTCTGCTTTACGAGTGAACCTGTCGATATCTTGGTAAATACCAACATGCTCTGGCTGATGGATTGTAAAAGAAAAAATGTCAAATTACTGAATTATAAAATAAAAAATTGTTGTGTTTGCATTTTTTCCGTAAATGCTCGTATGTCTGTATCGTTGTAATGTGACGAGCTTTTTCATGTGAATCAAAATTGGAGCTTTACTGATTCAACTGGAAGTGCATTGAAGATGTATGTAATGACTTCAAAACACTAGTAAATTTCCAATTTCCATAGTTCATGATATGTCTGGATAACACAGCTTAAACATGTATGGAAAGGGATCATGTTATGTAACAGTAAGTGTAGGAAATGTGAAGAAAGTCTTTAACATTTGGCATGAGGCCTATTGGGTGGAAGCTCAACACCACCAAGGCTTGTGTCCAAAACATTTTTTTATATATATGGCAAGTAAAATATACCAATTAAAAATAATAAATTATGTTTCTTTTACTAGATAATATGATATTTTTTACTTGTTTTGTATATGAGGGTGACTCCACTATGGAGCTAACTTTTGGCTCAATTAAAAATTGGGGTTGACATGTTGTACTACATGAACAAATAAACTCATATTATAAAATGTAATGCAACTTTTGGCTCAATAGAAAAATCGGGGTTGACATGTTGTACTAAGTGAACAAATTTGATAAATAGTTTTGCTATGGAGCCATCAGATGGCTCGGCTTAGGGAGCCATCCACACTTATTAACCAATAGTATATTGACACGTGTCCTGCAATAAATACACTTTGGACAGGTGTCAATACATTAAGTGGTGGATGGTTTCATAAGAAAACCATCCGATGACTCCATAGAATTTTTGATAAACTCATACTTATATTATAAACTTTAATGCAAGTTGGGGTGATATGTCTGTACTATGTGTAATGTATCTAGTTATGTTTTTTTTACATAGTATGATATTTTTAAATGGAAATATGTATACTTTGTGAAAAGATTATGTCGGCATGACAAAAAAGTATTGAGTAAAGTATTATTGATGCTTAGACGCTTTCTTGAAAGTTTGGATCTAAAATTCACAGAGACTAGAGAGGAAAAAACTTGTCTTTTTAAACCTTGCATAAATTAGAGGTCCAAAAAATAATACTACTGTTTAATCGTGAGTCAACAATTCGATATTTTTTTATATATGTGAATCGAAAAGAATGTTGAGTTTTATCTTACTATTACTATTGATAATCAATTTTAAGTTGATCCATCAGTTGCACATGAATTTTTCAAAGGAAACAAGTTTCTCTGAGCTCAGACTCGATAAGTATTGAAAATACGATTTTCAATATAACTTTTTTGTAGTGTGGCTCATAAAAATTCAAATTCAACTCGTTAATATTGATAAACAAAGTGAGGATGAACTCTATTAGTTGCCTACTTGCATACCATGATATCAATGATTCCCTTTCCTTTACAATTTAATGGTCTGTAATGAAATAAGAATAAACTCGGGGGACTAAGATGAAAATATTGGACAGAGTTTGCGGTTTAACTGAATGGGTGTTGAAAAAAATCCGTTCTTCGTAGCTCAAATGGAGCTTTATCCCTTGTGCCCATGAAAAATCAACTGAAAAATGCTGGTTCCTCTCTGCAGCTGCAATCGCCATTTTTCCTTCACCACTTCCAAAACTCTTCTAAACCCCGCGCCCCAGATTCCCGGCTGCCACTACCCCCATATCACGCTCAAACCCCTCCGCCGGCGAGTTTCCATCTCCGCCGCCGCAGAGCCGGCGGCGGTCTCCCGCACTCATGGGAAATCCGCCTTTAGGCGTATAGCCGAGAAGCTCCGCAGCCTGGGATACGTGGAAGAAATCAAGGATGATGCTCCGGATGAAGCCTTAAACCCTGGCTCCAATTCTCCCGGCGAGATTTTTGTACCCTTGCCGAACCGTTTGCCCAAGTACCGGGTCGGGCACACCCTGGATACCAGCTGGAGCACGCCGGAAAACCCGGTGCCTGAACCCGGGTCGGGAACTGCGATTCAGAGGTATCATGAGTTGAGGCGCGGGGTTGTGGAGGAGAGGATTAGGGCACGCAGCGAGGAGAAGAGAAATAGGGCCCCCAGCTTGGCGGAGCTTACGTTGCCGGAGGAGGAGCTGAGGCGGCTGAGGACTGTCGGGATTGCGCTGAAGAAGAAGTTGAAGGTGGGCAAAGCTGGGATTACGGAAGGGATTGTGAACGGGATTCACGAGCGGTGGAGGCGGACTGAGCTGGTGAAGATCACGTGCGAGGATATATGCAGGATGAACATGAAGAGGACTCACTTGTTGTTGGAGGTTAGATGTGTCTCTGGCTGCTGCTTTCTTTTTCTTTTTCTTTTTTTTTTTTTAAATTATCAGTGATTGAAAGGGATTTTTGTGTCATACTTATGGGCTGGTGAAAAGGATGGAATGGATAATGTCATGTAAACTGAATTCAGATTTAGTTTCTTTTATGAAAATTGTAAGTGTTCCTAGTTCCTTTGTGCTCTTTATAGTTGCTAGATTGAAATCTATTTCTATATCAATCTGAAGCTTGGTTTCAAGTGTGAATAACTAAAGCTTAAGCATGATTCTTATAATTCATAGGAGATATATTATGTTGAATGTCAGTCTCTCTTGAAATTGCGAACTCGACGAACTTTCCCACGTTTGAAATTCAGTTTAATATATGTTTTATCTGACACCAAATTGATGGAACTTTTTTTTTTTTCAGAGGAAAACCGGTGGTCTAGTTGTTTGGAGGTCTGGAAGCAACATAGTATTGTACAGAGGGTCAGATTACAAATATCCCTACTTTTTCACCAATAACTCATCAAACGAGTCTTCTTCTGAAGAATCTTCCGATTTAGACGAGGATCATAGAACACTCAACGAGGTTTTACAGCCACAAGACCCAAATGCTGTGGGACCAGGCAAGCAAAGTTCTCATCCGCCCCTAATAAAAGGCGTGGGTTTGCCCAACAGAGTTCGTTTTCAGCTTCCTGGTGAGGCACAGCTTGCTGACGAGGCTGATGCATTGCTGGAAGGGCTCGGGCCACGGTTCACTGATTGGTGGAGTTATGATCCTCTGCCTGTTGATGCTGATCTTTTGCCAGCTGTTGTTCCTGGATATAAGAGACCTTTACGTCTACTTCCGTATGGAGTTAAACCGAAGCTTACGAATGATGAAATGACTACGTTGAAGAGACTGGGCAGGCCTTTACCGTGTCACTTTGCTTTAGGTTGTTAAGCTTGTTCCTCGTCGTTCTTACATTAATTACTGGATTTTTAAATAAAATTGCGTGATGCTTGGATATAAGAATTTTCGGTTTTGTTTGGATTTTTTTGGTTTGGTTTGGTTAAGTTAATTTTGAAAAAGGTGGTATGGTTAGTTGTTAGTGTGTATATTGAAATAATATTACAAATAAAATAATTAAAGTTGTTAGTGTGAATGACTATTGGCTTGGGACTAAAAGGCTATGTTGTTGTTGTTGTATTGATAATATTGATGATAGTGGGGGTGAGTTAAAAAAATTGATTGAGTAAAAAATGTTAGGATTTTTTTGAGAATTTTTGTATCCAAGCATCCTGAGGGACTTATAGTCGCGGCTGGCAATTTTGGAAGTTAGGATTATATAGCAAAGTGATCTGGGTATTTGCGCAACTATTAAATATATCTGTTTTCGAGTTGTCTGTTAACTTTAATTCTCGTTTTCCCACAGGGAGGAATCGGAAGCTTCAGGGATTGGCTGCTTCCATTGTTAAACTCTGGGAGAAATGCGAGATTGCGAAAATTGCAATCAAGAGAGGAGTTCAGAACACGCGCAGTGAACTGATGGCAGAAGAACTAAAGGTTTGTGTAACTATTTGGCTAGTGCAGTAAAGCTCTATCTTGCTATAAATTTGGCACCTTGTATTGAACGAACTCACATCGCGGGGCATGCAATTATTACTCTAGGATTTTTTTTTTGAATCTAAAATACTTTTGGAGACATTGAAAATAAAACATTGCAGTGTTTGACTGGGGGAACCTTACTTTCAAGGGATAAAGATTTCATTGTTATATACCGTGGGAAGGACTTCTTGCCAGCATCAGCCTCTTCAGCTATAGAAGAGAGGAGAAAAAATGGGATATATGCGTCAAAAGATCCATTAGTCAACAACTCATCAGTTATGAATCAAGAGGAAGGTGAACATGAAATAAATCAATCTGCTGATGAAGCTGAGAATGAAGAAGAAAGTGGTCAGAATTTGCAGAGCCGCTCTGAAAGAAGGAGGCTGAGGTTCTCAGTGGCAGCAGTGGAGAAAACAAAGGCCAAATTGTCGATTGTAGGCATTCATGAATACCCGTACTTCATCTAATTGTTTTTTCAGTTCTTCTTCATTTGTGTAAATGTCGTTTTGATTGGTTGAAGGCCTTAGAGAAAAAGGCCAAGGCGGAGAAGATTTTAGCAGAGCTGGAGAAATCACAAATCACTCAACCACTTGAAACAGATAAAGAGGGTATAACTGAAGAAGAAAGATATATGCTGAGGAAAGTGGGTTTGAGGATGAAAGCTTTTCTTCTATTGGGTGAGTATTTAGCTCTGATAAATTCTCTCCACCAAAAAAATGTTTAGCCATTTTGAAATCATCTAAGTGGGGCACAGGCTGAAGCGCATTTTATCTGAACACTTTTAGGTCGGCGTGGAGTTTTTGATGGGACAGTTGAAAACATGCATTTACACTGGAAATACAGAGAACTGGTGAAGGTCTGTATTGGGTGGAGGAACATTGAAGAAGTTCATGGAATAGCACAGACCTTAGAAGCTGAAAGTGGTGGAATATTAGTAGCAATTGAACGAGTCAATAAAGGTTTTGCAATCATCATTTATCGGGGGAAAAACTATAAACGTCCTGCTTCTCTGAGGCCCCGGACACTTCTAAGTAAAAGAGAAGCAATGAAACGTTCATTAGAGGCACAACGTCGAGAGGTAAATTAAATAAGCGTATGTCTAAGAAGTTACAAGTTTTTTGTTTCCTTTAATAGAATTCGAGAGAATAATTTTCTTGCATTGCTTATACATTTGAAGCAAAATGATCATAGCATTTAGCAACTGTCTTATACATCAATTCTGTATGATGCAGTCCCTGAAATTAAATGTTTTAAAGCTCAGCCGGAATATTAACGAACTTAAGCTCAAAATGGTACGCTTCTCCCGTATATACTCATTTTAAGCAATTGATTTAATGTTTAAAAGTGGTAGTAATTTATATATTTATCTTATGCCAGGAGAAAGAGGAAGATAAAAGGAATCTGCAGTTGACAGAAGATTTGAAACATGGAACTGTAAGCTTATATCTGATGTTCTATTGTTACAAAGTCGTTGTAGCAATTAATTTTTTTTTTCCTTTCATATTGTCATTTATGCTATGGTTGGGACATATAATCATCATCCAGGTTAATAAAGAGGCTATAGAAAATCACCACAATGATGATAAGATGTCTTCTAGAGATTCTGGATGTGATCACCAGTCTTACTATGGAGACCTTGCCAATGAGGTAAACTTAACTAAACATAGTATTTGTCTCTGCTTTGGATATTTAGATGTATTTATTGCTGCTAGTGTCTCAAATCTGGACTTAAAGGTGACGAGTTTTCAGTGTTAATGTAGGAAATTCTGTAGAATAGGTGTCTTCTATTATGCATGCTCAAAGGAATTAGCTTCTCGAAAAACAATGCTTCATTCTAGATGAAATTCTTATATGGAATTGAATTTTAACAATTAATCTATGACTCATGATTGTTTTTGGAGTAAGGATAACGATTTGGATATGTTAGAAAAGTTAACCTGTTTTATTAGCTCGAGCACATTATTTTCTTCATACCATTCTATTCTCTGAATTAGCTTAAGATCCATTTGTTTGCTCTGTACACCTTCAGTGTCCGTTAATTGCTCCTGAAATAGCTTAACTTTGTGCTAAGAGTGTCCATTTGTAACAAATTGCGTGAATCTGAGTATTTACTCAGTATGGTTCATAATCAATGCACTAGGAATTGCATTTTTTCTTCCGTAAGTATTTTATTCGATGCAAAAGAATTCACTAGTTCTTGTCTGATTGAAGACTAGTGAAAGCCATGAAACTGATGCAATTGCTAGAGCCCAAGAGAATCCCTTGTATTCTTCAGAAGATTCCGTGCATATTGTTCAAAAGCAGCCCTTAACAATAGATGCTTCTTCCAAACCTGTGGTTAAAAGTGACTATTTAATCAACGCAACCGATGCAGATCTTCAACCCAGATCACTGCCTAAGGATACCGCCATTTTCACAACCAATGACCAAAATGTTGAATTTTCTCATAATTACAGGGTAAATAAAATCCACAATTTTACGAAATATTCTTTTTGAATGTCATGAGCAACACGTTACGAATAGTTTCTGATTTGAATGTGATGCTACGTTGGAGCCAGTCTCAGAATCGAGCAAGCTCTTCTTCATCGGTCGAACAAAGAGAGGCTTTCCAGCTCTCGAACAAAGAGAGGCTTCATCTGAGAAAACAGGCTCTCAAGTTGAGGAAAATACCCGTGTTTTCTGTTGGTAAATGATGATATTATCCCCATAATTTTTTGAAATGTTGAGGCCCCAACCAAATTCCAATGACAAATTTGATATATATGACAGGAAAGAGCAATGTATTCACAGGACTAGCTAAAGAACTAAAGGCCCACTTGAAAAAGCATCCTATAGCCATTGTGAACATCAAGGGCAGAGCCAAAGGAACATCGGCCCACGAGGTCATCTACAATTTGAAGGTTCCCGCGCTCTTCTTGCTTTTTCCTCTAAAACGAAATAAAACGGTAAAATTGCATTTTCAGTCTTGCTGGTTTAACACCATAGCAATTTTAGTCCCAAGGTTCCAACATTTCGCCTTTTGGTCTTGTGATTTAATATTTTGCTACAATTTCGGTCTTTTGAGGACTGAAATTGCAACAAATTCCACAATTCACAAATCTTCGATTAGCAATTTAAGTTGTGTAGTAAAACTTTTTTACAGTTTCCGTATTTTAAAATTTTATTGCAATTTCAGTCTCACATGACTAAACAGGACTAAAAATGCGAAATGTTGGAACTTCAGGATCAAAATTACTATGACATTAAACCAACAGGACTAAAAATGCGTTTTTCCCAAATGAAATACCTCAAAAGATTGTGAAAAGCTGCCCTAAACTAAACATTAAGGATTGAATTGCAATAAAATATTAAATCACAGGACCAAAAGGCAAAAAGTTGGAACCTTCGGACTAAAATTGTTATGATGGTAAACCAAGAGAGCTAAAAATGCATTATTGCCAAATAAAAAACCTTAAATTGTTTAAGATTGTGAAAAATAGCCCTAAACTAAACAATACACTTATTCATCTAATCCTCTGATCAGCAAGCAACGGGCGCTGTTCTTGTGTCTCAAGAACCCAGCAAGGTGATACTCTACCGAGGCTGGGGTTTAACAACCGAACCTAATCAAGCAAGCCGAAAGGGAACTAAGGATTTTAAAAATGAATCGATGGGCCAAGAGGTGAAGGCCCATGGGCCTATATCACGTGAGCTCCTATCAGCAATGAGGCTTGAGTGCGGCTTGAAATCTGCCGATGATGAAACTGATGGCATTGTGGACAATATCCCTTACGACACGGCTAACACTTAGGTGGGTAACAATAACATTTCATACTATCACAATTGTCAGCTAAATCCTAAAAATGTAAATACTCTTTTTTTCATTCTTTGTTAGTTGTATTTGTATTTGTATTTGTATTTGCATTGTATTTTTTTTTTAATCTTCCAGAAATTCTACACAATGGCTATTGCTTCTCACGTGTTCTTAATTAAGAACACATAAAGCTCCTTTGGAAGTTGGAACATTCTTTTTTATAACCAACAAGCGTGATAAGCGGCGAGGAATATGGTACTTAGAGTCAAAACAGTGGGCGATAGAAAACACCATTGACATTTGACAGTGGCTTGCATCAGCGTGACGTATTATCCAATCCAAGTTAGTTGATAAAAAAGTAAAAACATCAATATCAAAATCATTTCCATATTTTAATCTTTATATAATGAAATTTGTATAATCTTTATTCATAATGTAATTTACCTTTAAAATAATGTTTTCATATTTTCCTCATATAAATAGAAGTGAGCAATTTGAAGTGCATATTGTTTAGTTAAAAAGATGGGATATTCTGTTCTCTAATAAAATACACATCTTTCTTGGTTTTATAGTATAGTTTATAGAAATAATATAATTTGATTTTAATGTTTCCCAGGTTTTACAGAGTAAAACAGTGATATCTCCACTTGCTTAAGGTAAAATATTAGATCTTTCTAGATTCAAATGCACTAAGCTTAATTCATACCATCTGAAAAAATTGCTTTTTTTTTTTTTTNCTGAAAATCAAGACAGAAAACAACAAGAGAAAAATAAAATCGATAAATACGTTAGCAATGATATATATATATATATATATAACTAGAAAAAGAAATCAATAAATACTAGTAATGATAAATATAATTAGCGAGAAATATCAAGAAAATGTAAGGCATTGCTGAAGTTGGTGGTATGTGCATGTGTGCCAATTAATTGTACGTGCACTGTCAATAACTATATAACTAATGTGCTTAATATAGAATAACATGATTTTTACGAACTTCATATTTATTCCTAAAACAAATACATATAAATTCCCGTACTAATTTCCAAGCATAGAGTAATACTTTATTTGATAAGAAAATTTTCATTATATAACTTTTGGGAGCTTATTGCAAATTCCCCTTTGTTTAAAAGAAAAATTATTTAAGAAAAATGTTGCATAACTTATATGCATTAATAATGTGCAGTTTGTATAATAGATTTACATTTATTTTTGTTTAAACTTAAAGTTAAGTTAAAGGATTCAATTCATCAAATCTTAAATATAAGTGTTCTTTAGTTTATTTGCTCTTTTTTTCAGGGAAAAAAAAAAAGGACTTTACAAAAAGCAGCTTCAGCTGCAATGATGAGAACACGACTACACGCACAGAAGTGTAATATTCTAATGAAAAAATTAAAAAAGCCTTTTTCGAGTTTCATTAATGCCAGTAACAATTCTATCTCCGACAACAGCAGGTTGTTCCTGATAAAAATGCACACACTTTCTCATTTAAAATAATACTATTACACAAAAAAAGAAGTGATCTATTATTATTATTATTATTATTATTAACTTTCCAAAATATATTGTTTTTTTTTTTTAATGTTTTAAAGTTGATAACAATGATAAGTTCTCTCCTAAAATACAAGAAATTAACAATTTATCACTTGCAATAAATTCTAACATGGCATAATTTTTAAAACTCTGGTGAATTTTGATTTAAACTTTTAAATTCATTTAGAACTTTTCAAATCCATATCAAATGGAACAAAATGGAACTTTTAAGTTACGCGATGACAAAAAAACTACAGTTATTTTTCTATTTATGGTCATTATATTCGATTTTCAATCAGATAATTTTATTGAAAATATTATAAAATCAAATATATGTGTGAGTGTATGATCATGACTGTAGTGCCCTTATCAATAGACTCAAATATCTATGTGTATTTGTAATCCAATAGTAACTACCTACAATACCCTCACCAGTAGAACTGAATATTCGTACAAGTGTGTG